GCGATTCTATCCCCCACATAAACAAGCAGTGACGTCATAGTGAAATAGGGCAATTGAACAAAAGATTTTTTCAGTCTCTTATATTCTTGGGTAACTTAACAAAGCTGATCTCTATCAACCACTGTCATGTTCAATCTGTCTCAGGAATGTAGATAGACTCCTTGCACTGAATTCCTAGAGAAATTGTTCTGGGGAGAAAACAATATGGCGTCTCAGTTTTCTTATTCAAAAAAATCCATTGTTTTTTCCTCCAGAACAATTCTTCTCGGGACTCAGAGCTAGTGTTCTATAGTCTAAACTCATTGAGCACTGCGTGTAATCACCTCAACTATGTCAAAAATCTTCTAACTTTTTTCTCTACAATTTATTTTTCAAGGTGTCTGGGTTCATGGCTGTCGTCGTGTTCATCGTCGACGCTGTCATCCATTACCGACTGATGCAAGCTGAGTGAACCAGACACTAAAGGAACCGTTCATTTCTTACAGGGGAAGGGAGGAGTTGGGATTTGTTAGGGGGGAGGGGAGGGTCGTTAAAAAAATCAAGTTCGAAAATGGGGCACACGAAAAATCCGAGTCACAACACTTTTAGAATAAACAGTATGGACAACAAGGGAGGGGAGGGTCAGACTTCTGGTATGGGTTACCAAGCAAATCCCACCATCTCCCCCCAACGAAAAATTAATGGTCCCAACGCTCACACAACTCGTAGAAAAAAGGTGTATTTGGTTTTTAGGTCTTATGATTTGTATCACGTCAACTTTATTGTTTTAAAAGCATTTTATAATATGTTCGTTTAGTATATTTTTATGAGATTGTATTACCAAAATATAAGTAGTTTTTGATAATGTTTTGAGAATTGAAAAGACCAATGATAGCTTTACAGAACTTTATATTTAGGCAAGTAGTCTGAGTGTTTAGCACTCAACGATATTTCTACAAAAATACACCCTGTTCTATTATTGTCTAGTCACTAATAAATATTAATCAAATATTTTTATGTGTATTGTTATTAGTTTTAATTGTGCCAGAGTGGCTTTTATGCTGAAGGTYGTTGTTGTTAATGAGACGCGTTTTGCAACGACAATTTTTTCAACCGACCTTCAAATCTCACGACATTGTTGACAGAGAAGCTGTGCGTGTCATATTACATGTCATATTTTAAGATGATTTTTGAGCAAGAATAAAGTAATGCCTTCATACATGAAGAACCATCCTTGCTCTACTGTTACATAGAACAACAATAATATGAACTGCTCCCCCCCCCCCCCCCCCCCCAAACATAATGCAACGCATTTCTACGACACCAGAAAGGCTGATATTGTTACCAAATATACCTTGGGTTCTAGTAGTGAAACGTCTACCTCTATTGCACCTCCCGAACCATCGTTGGYAATTCCTTGGGAAGCTAGCACCTTGTACTGACATTGGCTAAAATTTGCTGGCGGTCCTTTCACTCCTGATAGACCACTTGATCCAATGTACCYTGTGATTGGATTTATGGGGCTTTTCGTCATATTCTTAATCTTTGTTTAAAAARTCAAAATCAAAATCAAAATCAAAATAGGGACGTTCAATACTTTTGTCAATAAAAATGGTATATTTTAGACAGCTTTCCATGTCTACGTTGTTCGGTCGGCCGTTTTTATCGTAAAAAGCGTGAATTTCCACGCACTCTGAAGGCTAAACGAAGTCGGGGGCCCCCATTTTTTGTTTTGTTTTGTTTTTTTTTTGTTTTTGTTTTTTTTCACTTGCTTATTTTAATTGTAGTATGATTTACTTTCATCAAGCAATTGTTTGTAAAAATCTGACGATGGGAACTTTTCACCATGAACGTCCTTGAATATAATAATCAGATAACATCACCTTGTTTAGCAAAGTTTCATTGAGATCCTTGATGGAGTTGTGCAGCATACTGCGTGAAGCTTCTATGCTTCTCTTTGTATCATTCACCTGTCAGATGGCAGGAACAAAGCAAACTTCAAAATATACTTATTGAAAGGCTTTTGCATTTATAAACTTTCGGGAAGGTAATTAGTTTTAATTCTTGAAAGTGACTGATAGTCACTTGACTTCCTATGATATCATACGGTATGCGAATAAAAACAAATTAACGAAAATCAATCAACTTACCCTCCCACTAACAGCTAAACCAACATACATAATCAACCAACCAAACAATCATCCGATAACGAAGCCGCCTGACATGAATGCAAGGCAAGCGGCGCAGCAAGGTACTGAATCTCTGACTGACTTACAGCACGGCACGTACACGGTACGACATCCCGTAACATTGAAATGGCTTCTCATTGTCTTCCAGTATTTCATTCAATCACGACGCATAGTTACGGCTACAGCGGGTAAAATACGGTACGAATTTGCTGAATAAGCCATTTCCACTTATAAGAAAACCGCTCTATCKGTGGTTCAGGTTGTATCATCTGAACCGACAATCTATGAAAATAAACATTTTCGTTGAACAAACCTGTTGGGTGAGATRCGTTTTCATTTCCAATAAATCAGATGAAATCTCTCCCAATGACGAGTTGATTTCATCCTTCGTCAAATTAAGCTAAAAGAAAGAAAGTTAAAATAAATAAAGCCATGGATATATAATAATTAAAAGAAGAGAGACCAAGGCAACAAAATATTGCCAACCTTATAGTTCGTGGTTTTGTTCACTTTTTCAAGTTGTTCTTTTTGTCTGGTGGTAGTTTCGTGGAATGCTTTGATTGTTACATTCAATTTTGTCTGTAATTTGTAAACTTTAGAATTCATCTGAAAGAAGCAAGGCATATGTTCAGAAAAGTGGATTAGTATTTCAGTATTTGATTAGTCTTCCTTGAGATATTCGTTTTAAATCAGATAAGTAATCGAGTAATCGACTTTATCAAGAGAGTCGGGTGGAAACTTTGGTGGGGTGACATTATTAGTCTATTTGAGAATATCAACAGAGGTCATAGCTTCAGTGAATCGTCTACCTTTATTAACTAAGAAACGATAATATGTACTTATTGACTGAGTGGGAGGGCCGTACGGGAAAATATTTGGCTCGAGGTGATGCCGTACGGACCGAGGGCAGTTTTATTAGAGCGCGCGAGCAGGGCCGTATGGGTCATATGATAAATTCTAGTATGTTTCTATCAAACTGTTTCAGTAAACGTTGAATTCRTCCAACTAAAATTCTAAATGAATATCGTACATACTGGGACCAGTACTTCATATGAAACTGTGAAGCTAACTCGACTGGTCGTGTTTTTCGCGCGATATTCACTTAGARTCTTAGATGGAGTCAACTTTTAAATATGGAGTAGAATATATCGTGTTTGAGTTGATAACGGTGGAAGATTCACCGATTCACATGTCCCGATTAGATATGCACCTTTGCTCGATTTCGTGCTTGTGCGCATTTTTTGCGAAATACTTTGCATGTGCAAAAGACATGCCTCTATAAGTACCGAGAATCCCCGGACAGTCACGGAAAATCGAATTTCTTTTTATTTCTTTTTATTCAAATTTAGTATTGAAAGTTTCCTCAGATTTTTATTTCCTTCAAAATCGAAAAGTTGTCGAAATGACCACGAGCAGGCACTGTGAATAAGCGAAAATCCTGCACTTTTGTTGCGCCCGTTTACAAAACCCAAAACGCGGACGGCATCAACCTTTACCCCTATGGAAACTTGTTATTTCTTCTTTCCAAAACAATGAAAAATATAACCGATTTTTGCCTGGGTTTTTACTATTTTTTTGGAACACTTTGCCGTATACTGTGGAAGCGCTGGCGAAAAAGTAAAAAAAAAAATCCATTTCTTCTCAATAAAGGGGTAAGAATATTATTGATGGCGCTCAAAGCATCTTTAATTACGAAGCGTAAACGCGAAGCGTTTTTCAATAAATCTGACGTACAACGGTTGCCGAGGTCGCATATTTTCCGAAACTTTACTTTCGCGATTTTGCCATAAAATCAAATTCTAAATCACTTTAATTTTATTATTTCTGTATAAATTTGAAAATAATTGTCGTTTACAAATATTTAAAAAATCGCGTTTGGTTCCGTTCTAAGTCTTGATGACTAGGCTGGAGTTGCAAGTATATGGTTCTCAATACAGTCATCAATTCTTTATTTTTTCCAATAWTTGTCATTATATTTTTGCGGCACCTATATTTCGTGTCATTTTGATTTCGCGATTTTTTTTGATGAATCGCAACAATTCGCGATATTTAACTGTCGCAAAATTTCCATTTAATAAGGTACATACAAGTAATAAAAATTCAACCTTTTTGCTGTGTTTTGTGCGTAAAGCAATTTTGGATTCATAGAACCCCGAAAAAAGTTGCATGCATTTCTATTTCTTCACTTTTGTCCCACTTCATCTATTGTTGCTGTTGTTTTTTGTTTGTTTGTTTGTTTGTTTGTTTGTTTTTGTTTTTGTTTACAAAAATAATTATATTTGTAAAGGATAGATAAAATGATCAAGTATTTGATGTGTAATAATTCTCTATTGAGTTGAGAGGTTCGTGCTTAGAATATTAAATGTAGTAAAAATATGAAGACTCGGATTTCAAATTTTTCATACACATAAATGCCAGTTCTATCGCATGAAGATACACACCTTTTCTAGCTTCTTTTGAATTTGAATATAGTTTGTTTTATAGTCCTGTTTTGATTCGTTGTGTAGTCTCGTCAGGTTCTCATATAACACAGAAACGTCAAGAGTCTGAAACAAAAAAAAATCTTCCATGATCATTGGTACTGGAATTGAAGAAGTATATCCAAAACAACGATCTCCGGGCTTTACAATAATTTTTTTCAAAAGCAGAATTTCCTTTGTCCCTAAATAATTTGTTTTCTCGGTCATCTGACAGAAATCCCTTTTATTGAGGAGGAACGAACGGGAAAATAAGATATCTTGTTGGCTGCGCGCAACAGGCAGTATTCTTTATAGATTATCATGCAACGTTCTTTGTTGCATGGCAGTATACGAAATAAATACGCTCGCCCTCACTGGGACGCCCTACTTAGCGTGCTTGTAACATRCACAAAACTAATTAAAACATTCACGCGGGCTGGAACTCTCTATTGACGGTCATACCTTGAACTAGTTTCCTTACTCAAAGCAACTGTTTTAACTATTTTTAAAATACCCTTAAAAATTCGTTCCATCAACACGGTATCTAGATTTAAATTTTTGTTCTAAGCTTTCGGGTCCTTAAAACATTGGTTCAGGGAAATGATGTAATTAACTTCAGTTTGTTTTTAAAATGTTGGCTTATTTTATAAGCTTAATACTCCCATTTGGAGTTAACCTCTAGCTGCTCAGTCTTAGTCTCGATTGTGTACAAATGTGTTCTTTTCTTTCAAACGGTTTGAAAATAGTACAAACTGTGCACATGATGGTTACAAKKCTATATAGGGGGGATTCCTTCTCTTAGTTCATTTTCTCTTGTTAAGGTCCATTGTATACGAAGGAATGAACGTACTATTGAACAACACAAGTTTATTAAAACTCCATGGGTGAATAGCTGGATATTTTATCGCACAACTGAGGCTAAGATGAGCAAAAGAGAACACGAAACTGGAGTATTCGTCGTTTAACTGACTGACTACAAGAAAGATAGAGGAATAAAGCGGAAGGGCAATCATGATTCAAAGCATCAAATTACCTTAAATTTTAACCTTTTTTCAGTATCGCCAAGGTCTTGCCTGAGCTTGTCTATTGCCTCGTTCATTTCTACTGAAGTTGTATTCATCTTTATCAAGAAAAGGTTGAAATAARTTTCAAGAGTTCAGATCTATAAAGATTCTCGCTGTTAATCACATCCTAACACTTTCTAGTCATATTGGAATTCTGTAACACAAATTCCGCTCGGTCAAGGCTACCCATCTTTATCAATCATCACACTAATGAAGGATATTAGGAACCTTCGTGGTATAATGTCTATTATTACATTGTTGGATGTTTCTTGATCACCTCACAGCATCGTGGATCGATTATGGCATTGTTTTACTAACGAATGTCACAGGGGTTACATGCCACATGGAAATGTGTTCAAACCCATGAGTATACATATATTGTGGACACATGGATGAATGAATGGAGGTAGGGAGGGAGGGAGGGAGGGAGGGAGGGAGAGAGGGAGGGATGGGTGAATGGATGGATGGATTGGATGCATGGATGAATGGATGGATGAATGTGTCAAGGTCCATCAAATAACATTTTGTAACAAATACCATAAAAATTATTTACATACATGAGTTATTGCTGCTTTCATCATTCTAATCTTTGAATCCAATTCATTCTTYGTTTCGTTTACTGACTCTTGAAGCTTCTTTTCGTTTTTCTAAGGCAGGAAATTTTGACAGACATTTTAGGCAAGAGAAATTAATCAATTCGGTTCAACATGAATTTCATGATTACTTACTTTCCGGTTTTTATTCATCATATTGAAATCGACTTTCAGTTTGTGAAAATCACCTGATTGGTAATCCTGTGGAATAAGTWAAAAGGCAACTTTATAGTGAGTCCTATTTTTCAGATACTTTTTTCAAAAGTCATCATTGCAAAAACAACTGGTCTACTACTGCTAATTTACTACAGTAAATTTTAGTCAATACCCTAAGATTTACACATGCATGTGCCCAAGACCAACGATAGAGATTTACAAAATCAGAGATTATACGTGATTCATTTAATTAAGTGATTATTATACCATGATAGCAAACAAGGGAAATATTGTAGGGTTTATCACAACATACTATTCACAGTAAAGAGTATTCATCAACTGAATCGCATTTTTTTTAACTGCAACGTGTAAGAAGCTGAAAACTAACCATCTTTTCTGTAATGTTACGAAGTACATCTATYAACCATTTTTGGAAGTCGGTTTTAGCTTCCTGCTTGCCTTGTGAAAGACTGAAATYAGTAGTTCGAATTGGTTTGCTGCGATCTAAACATGAAAAGCAAATCAGCCTKTTTAATGAATGTTGCAATTAAGCAGTGGCATGAGCAGTAGCAGTACAGTAAAAACTTGGGGTTCAGGCTTATTTTGTTCTAATATTTTCTAGTGTTTTCTAGTGTGTTCTAGTGTTTTCTGCAAAATCAGCCTGAAAGTGTTTTAAATTAAATACTGCATTGACTTACAAACAGATGAAATCAATGTGCAAACACAACATTTTAATTAAGTAATGGATGGAACTAACCTCRACTGCATTAATCAAGGCAATTAAATATTACATTGGGGACTGGGTAGCAGTTCTAGCTATAAACAACCCGAAACTCATCAAAAGTCAAGCAAATGTTTCAGGCTGAATGTGTTCTTATGTATATGGTAGTAATA